GGAAAAAAAATCCCCGGAAAATAAATCCCCGGAAATAAATCCCCGGAAATTAATTCCCCGGAAAAAAATCCATAGGAAAATAATTCCCCGGAAAAAAAATATCCCCGAAAAAAAATTCCCCAAAATAATTCTCCGGAAAAAAAATCGCCGGAATAAAATTGCTCTGGAAAATAATTCCCCGGAAAAAATTTCCCCACTATATATTGAATTGCTAATGCACATTGCTAAACTGCATTGCTAAAAAGCAATCAATCATAAATCAATCAAAATTTTATTATGTATATTTTATTAATGATAATTTTATAAACTTTTTTTAAAATATACTTAAATCATTTTTTTATTATAAATGAAGAATACTGATTAAATATCATATAGTATATAATTTTATTTTTATTTAATATTATTAGTAAGAAATTTATTTTAGTAGCTTATTAAAACAAAAGTACATTTTATTCAATTTTAAAAATTAACAAATATATATCCGTAAGAGGGTGTTATATGTTTTAATATGTATCATTTTAGGAAACCGGAATGATGATTGGATAGAACAATGGAAATTTCTAAAGTAAATATTGCTGGCGTTATTTATCAAAATCTCTTCATTTTTGTTTTATACGTGTATATTTACGTGCTAAGCATTATCCTAAAAAATATTTAGATTTGACCGATTGCCGAGTTCAAAACCGACCACTTATTAAATATTCGATTGATCAAATTTGCTATTAAGATAAATTGAAAAATGTTGATTTTTTTTATGTATCTATAAATACGTATATAACATAATCCTAAAAAATATTTTTAAAATATCGTGATTTGGCGGATAACCGACTCGTAGCTCACCCAATGACTAAATACTGAATTGCTGGCGTTATAAATCAAAATCTCTTAATTTTTGTTTTACACGTGTATATTTACGTGCTAGGCATTATCCTAAAAAATATTTTGAAAATAATTTGATTTGACTGATTGCCGAGCTCAAAACCGACTTCTTACTAAATATTCGATTGATCAAATTTACTGGTAAGCGGAAAATAATTCCCCGGAAAAAAATCACCGAAAATAATTCCCCGGAAAAAAATCCTTGGAAAATTATTACCCGGAAAAAAATTCCCGTAGAAATATATGAAAATTATGAAAGAGTTAATTTAGAATTGAAAAGAAAAATGTGAAAGCAAATTTTTACTGAGAAAGAGAAAGGTTATTTCCTTTATCTACTTTTCATCTAGACTTGAATAGATATTAAACAGGTAATTAAACCACATTATATTTACCATGCAGAGGGGGTGGTTATTTCTAACACGCCACTGTTAAAATATATATAACTTTAAAATAATATTATGACACTATTCTGTTCTGTATGCTAATATCAGTTTGAATCCCGGACAAAAATAACATAATGGAAATTTTTATGTTTAATTTTTAAAAATTGTATCTGATTATAAATTTTCAAAAAAAGTATTAATCAGGAATTGGGGTTAGAATCATCATATCGGAATGATCCAATGTTATCTTATTTGCAGCTATGATCGATGGATTAGCATTCTTACCTATACACGATGTCAAACGAGGTATGGAGTATTTAAAAACCATTGTATCGGATGAAAACAATGAATTATTGTTTTATTTTGATAAAAATTATGTGAATGGAGAATTGAGACATGGGAAAAACTCTCAAAGGTAGAGCCATTGTTCCCACCTGAAACATGGAATGTGTTCAATATTACGATTGCTGGGGAAAATCGAACAAACAATGTATGTGAAGGATGGAATAACCGATTTAAGCATATTGTAGGCAACAAAAAACCGAAGATATGGGAACTACTCGAAAAAATAAGGATGGAAATAGCGGTTGATATGGGAAAAATCGGCCAATGGAATATTGGGACATACACTCCCAAAAAAAATCGTATTTATGCAACGTAACAAACTATTTTAAAAAATGTATGCATTGATTATTTAGAAGAGAGAAAGGACTTGCCCAATTTTCTCTCTTCAATTGGAGAACATATACGTTCTAGAATTGTTTCTTTTGAATAATATAATTTATTATTCTATATATCATTTAATAAAATTATAATTATTTCTTTTCTGTAACTTTTGAAAAAAATTCATAAGCAAAATAATAATTGTTAGATTAGAAAAATATAATACTCACTGCTGATAATCACCTCTGTATGTATTTTGATTAAAGTGGTCAACATTTTTCATTACTTTTGGCAGTATTTAATTAAAATTGGGCAGTAAAAAATATAAGTTTGCAAGTTTTATAGTGATTTTGTATTCAGTCAGTTAAATTCTTAAAGTAGGTAAATACTTCAGTAAATTAATTTTTATCAAATAGAGGGTATCAGATTGAATTGCTAATTTCCTATTTCGCCACAAAATTTATAAAATTATATTATTTAATAGCTTATCCTTGTAAAAACAAAAACGGGCGCTATTTAAGAGTTAGTAAACTCTGGAAAGCCTTTTATCATATTTCTAAAATAATGATTAAAATTTGTGTAAAAATAATTTTTCAATAAATACCTAAAAGTTGAGGAAAGTGTGTAAAGGTGAACTAGATTTATTTAACTTTAGTTTTATTATTTAAAATCTCAAATCCTCGAAGAAATTTGACTTTAAAAAACATTTCTATTTAATTAAATACTGCAGAGCAGATCCGGGTCACGGGATTTTTTTTCCGGGGAATTATTTTCCTAGATTCAAATTTACTAGTAATATAATTTAAAAATTGTTCATTTTTGTTTTATATATCTATAAATACATATAAAACATAATCCTAAAAAATATTTTAAAAATATCGTGGTTTGGCGGATAACCGACTCGTATATGTTTTACTCGTAATTATAGATATATAAAACAAAAAATGGAGTTTTCAAATCATATTACTAGTAAATTTTATCAATCGAATATTTAGTAAGTGGGGTTTTGAGCTCGGCAATCAGTCATTTCAAATTATTTTCAAAATATTTTTTAGGATAATGCTTAGCACGTATATATATACGCGTATAATACAAAAATGAAGATTTTTCCATGGATAACGCCAGCAATGCAGTATTTGGTCATTCTGTCGGTTTTCGGGTCAAATCACGATATTTTTAAAAATATTTTTTGGAATTATGTTTTATACGTATTATAGATACATAAAACAAAAATCAACATTTTTCAATTTATCTTAATAGCAATTGATCAATCGAATATTTAATAAGTGGTCGGTTTTGAACTCGGCAATCGGTCAAATCAAAATTTTTTTTAGGATAATGCTTAGCACGTAAATATACACGTATAAAACAAAAATGAAGAGATTTTGATAAATAACGCCAGCAATATTTACTTTAGAAAATTTCCATTGTTCTATCCAATCATCATTCCGGTTTCCTAAAATGATACATATTAATACATATAACGCCCTCTTACGGATATATATTTGTTAATTTTTAAAATTGAATAAAATGTACTTTTGTTTTAATAAGCTAGAAAAATAAATTTCTTACTAATAATTAAATAAAAATAAAATTATATACTATATGATATTTAATCAGTATTCTTCATTTATAATAAAAAAATGATTTAAGTATATTTTAAAAAAAGTTTAAAAAATTATCATTAATAAAATATACATAATAAAATTTTGATTGATTTATGATTGATTGCTTTTTAGCAATGTAGTTTAGCAATGCATTAGCAATTCAATATATAGTGGGAAATTTTTTCCGGGGAATTATTTTCCAGGGGAATTTTATTCCGGGGATTTTTTTTCCGGAGAATTATTTACCTGGGAATTATTTTCTGGGGAATATTTTTCCGGGGAATTATTTTCCGGGTATTTTATTTCCTAGGAATTATTTTCCTGGGGATTTTTTTCCGGGGAATTAATATCCGGTGATTTATTTTCTGGGGATTTTTTTTCCGGGGAATTAATTTCCGGGGATTTATTTTCCGGGAATTTTTTTCCGGGATTTTTTTTCCGGGGAATTATTTTCCTAGATTCCTGGAGTTATATAATAATTTAAATTATAAAAGTCAACTATGCTTCAACTATTAATGCTAAATATATATTTAGTTAGTGATATTGATATTCTATTTTAATAAAGAATTTGATTAAAAAGCTAACATAGTGAAAATATAATTTATATATATTAATAAAATCTAATAATTAAAATAGTATTCATTTAATAAAAGTTTAGATAGTCTTATTAATCTTTAAATAATAAAATTAAATCTATATATTACTTAATAGAATTATAAAAGAAATCGCTCAGGGGACAATCAAAAAAATTTATTTTTAGTTCAAGGGGATATTAAGGAGCCATTAAATAAAAATTTTTGCTTCAGGTGGCTATTCAAATTTTTCAGGGGGCTCAAGCCCCTGCGCACCCTCTTCTTGTGACGCTACTGCTATAGCAGCTAGAAGTCGATGACATGATCTTGTCATCAAGGTCTGCAGTTTCATTTTTCCTGTAGCACAAGAAGTATCAAAAATATTAATATTCAGCAAATTCTGCCTAGTGGATATCTTAACATTTTATACACTCTAGAAATTTTATTTTTTTTGGTTGTTGATCATATTTTCTAATAACCATCAGTTTTTTGGGTTTAAAAAATGTAATAAAATAAACATTAAATTTTCGTGATAAATATCAATATACATGAAATAAATATTTGAATTAAATTTTTTTACCAATTATAGAATATAGTATAACCTATTTGAAATAGAATACTTTTCAATTCGCAATATATGAAGCCCTGTTATATTTTTTTAAAAATTCTTGCTAAGGGGGGCTCCAACTAGCTATACACTTTTAGAATAGCTTTTATTTTGATATTCTGTCATTAAAATCTTCGTAGATGTTTCTCACAAAAATCTTTATGATACTTTTAAATGCGTTCTTCGAGCCATAAGCTATATTTTTATGACATGATATTAAATAATGTTAAAACTTTGCCCTTCTATCCTTAATGCCCGAAAGTGTCAAATCTGATAGGTTTTTGACAATTAGCATATATCAATGTTAACTTTTATGGTATATTAAGGTATATTCATTTCATCTCATCCGTTCTCAATTTTTTTAATTATAATGGTTGATTATGAAAATAGTTATTTTAAATCCAAATGCTCTAACGAAGAAATAGTAATTTAATATATATATAATCTGTTTATTTATAATCATTATGAAAGTACGAAGATATCAATAAATTTTTCTTCTCATTGAATATTAGTCTAAACACCCTAAAAGATAAAGAATTAACAATGACTTTGCAAGGATTAGATAATTTATTAGACAAACTTGACGATGCAACTCTAAAAATAAATTTAATAGGTATGGGCAATTTAGATTATAGACTAATTTTGTTTAAAAATAGACCTAGAAAACTTTTTGACCACTATAGTTTATCTTCTTAAAGAAACTAACGAAAATCAGGATGAACAGATAAAAAGATTTTGCCAAATTTTAGTTGAGCATCAAAATTTGACAAAATATTATACAGTCTTGTTTAAAAGGTTTAATCTTTTTAAATAAATATGTATTCTTGCATAATTTTTGGTCATATTCCACTAAATGCAATATTTTAATTACATAGCTTGCTCTGCTTTTTTAGGATGATGGATGAGAAACGACATATTAAATATGATATTTATTGTTCATTGCTAAAACTCATCAAATCATATAACTACCTAACCTTTGTTGAAACAGACATAAAAATAGTAATAATATATTGTATTAATATATAAATTATTAGAAATGATACTTTTATTATATATTCTGATATTTTGTATCTATATATTTTACTATTTTATTCTTTATAATAAGCCTCCTATCATCTATTTTAAAATGTTCATAAACTTCTTCTAATATCCATATTTTCATTTATTCTTATCAAATGTCATTTATATATCCAATTTCAGCAATCTCCCCTAATCACATCTCACTATTTTTTCAGAGATGAGCATTTGCAATTTTTCTTGCCCATACCAATAATCACCTTTTTGAATATAATCTGATGATCTTCTTTCCAGGTATTCAAACCACCATAATGATTTTCCAAAGTTAAAATTACTGTTTATTAGGGGCATGACTAAAATATGCACCCCCTATCAAAGAAGCTCAATTTAAATTATATTAATAATGAATCGTATTTAGCTTCATATGATGAGTCAGAAAATGTTTTTTTGATTTTTTTAAAAAATGGTAACTTAGTAAAATTAATAAAAAAATATTTTTTTACATGACTAAACTGTGCCCCCTATTAAAGAAGCTTAATTTATAAAAAATGAACACAGAATATATATAGCTTAATAAATGGAAAAAATGTTAATATTATATTTTAAAACTTTTTATAACTTAATGGGCTTTCGAAAAAACACATTTTTTTTGACTAACACACCTGCTTTAATTTTTTATGAATTAAGCTTCTTTGATAGGGGGCACAGTTTAGGGGATAGGATTGCTAAAACAAAAATCCTTAAAAATTGGGAACATGGCTTATATCTCCTAGAAAATTTTTAAAGTAAATTTGAAATTAATATTATTAGATACCAGGGGATTAAAGGGCTTTCGAAAAAACACATTTTTTTTGACTAACACACCTGCTTTAATTTTTTATGAATTAAGCTTCTTTGATAGGAGGCACAGTTTAGGGGATAGGATTGCTAAAACAAAAATCCTTAAAAATTGGGAACATGGCTTATATCTCCTAGAAAATTTTTAAAGTAAATTTGAAATTAATATTATTAGATACCAGGGGATTAAATACTTGTATTTAAATTGAAAATTTAAAAAAAATCCCTAAAATGGAAGAAATATCATCCAAATAGGAGATATAAGCCATGTTCCCAATATTTAGCGATTTAGAATGGGAACCCAGTTTAGTCATAATTTTTTTTTTAATTAAAATTTTTAAAAAAAAATGAATAATACCATTTTCTGAATCTCCTTGAAATGCTATACATGATTTTGTATCCATTTTTTAAAAATAATGTATATTGCGCATAGTTTTAGTCAAAAAAAGAAAAAATTAATTGTTTTTTTAAAATCTTAAATAAGTTATAAATAATTTATAAACTTAATATTAACATTTTTGGATTCATTTTAATGAGCTTAATATGATATGCTATAATTTTTTATGAATTAAGCTTCTTTAATAGGGGGCGCGTATTAGTGCATGTAGTTTAGTCATGTAAAAAAAATTTTTTCCTAAATTTTACTTTTATCATTTTTTTAAATAAAAAAAACATTTTCTAACTCATCTTATGAAGAAAGTTAAATACGATTCTATATTATTATAATTTAAATTGGGCTTCTTTGATAAGGGGCGCTTAGGGGGCGTGTATTTTATGCCCGTTTATTAGGGTTAGCCAATAAAAATCAATTTGATTTAAATCATCTATATTTTTTAAAAATATCTAATATTTAAATATTTTTAATACATTATATTTCCTAAATTTGATCAATATTTAATGAAATACTTATAGTCCAAAGTTAAACTTTCTAAACTAAAAAATACTAAGATATAATATTAATTATTTGATAAAAAAATTAAATTACTTGATTTATCATTACTTTTTGACATAATGTATAAAAAACTAATAATTGTATAATTCTAATCTCAATGTGAGAAACATATAATATTTTTAATGTAAAATAATAATAATCAATTTTTAAAATTAAAAATGACATTTTTATATATTTTTAAAAGTTATTACAAATATATAGAATTATTTAGACAGCCATATGATTACTATAATAAATTAACAATAACAAGCATTTCAGAGGGTCTCGAATCGTTAAGTATAATGGTTCATTTTAATTTTTAGTTTAAAATTTTATAAAAGTTTTTTCCATTTTGGTTTTTTGAAGAAATGTTATATCAGTTCGATTTATAATTTATAATGGTTCCTTTTGGTTTATTCTGGTTTTTATAAATTTGATTTTTAAAAAAAATTAATCATAAACTATATATATATTAATCTTAGAGAAAAATCTTTTTAATTTAAATTTAACCATGAAGATTATTTCTTATCTAATTAATTAGTAATTTGCCTAATCTCTATTAAATTGAATATATAAAGTAAAAACAATAAACTTCGTATTGATTGATTTGAAGATAATGGCAATTTAATTGTATAAAAATTTTATTTGAAAAGAAATCACTAATTTAAATTTCCCCATAAGAAAAATAACATTTTAAAATTAGGTTAATAATTTTAAAATTAATTATTTTTAAAAACCGTTATGAACTGGTTTATACCTCTTCAAAAATATTTATAACACTTAGTTTGCTCTTTTATATTTTCTTTATAATGGTTACAGTTCACAAAATTATAACGGTTCTTTCCGGTTTTTCGGTTCATTTCAAAACCCTGATTATCCATATTTCGATATTCATTTGAATTTAAATGTCGTAAGGAAAATAATTCAAAATTAGGAATGCACTCCAAATGACGAAAATGCTTTTTCTACTGAAACTGGTGATTAGTGTTGCTTAATTGGCTAATTTTAGCTGACTACAAAACGGCTTAGCCAAGATTTTAGGTGAAGAAACCTACTAAGCCTAATCAGTGATATTGGCTAAAATTTGATTAGTCAAAAATTCTGTATTGTCTAATCGTCCGTCAGCTTTCCATATTATGCATTTATTTTTAATAAAATAATTTATTTTATTTATATTTAATGTTACTATTTTATTATTATCAACAAATAAACATATGATTTATTAATTTTTATTTATATTATTACAATTTATTAGTGATTTTCATGCTCAAAATTTTAAGCAAGAAATATTTTTCTAACTTAAAAAAGATTTTTGAACATATTTTGATTTGATTAGAATTTTAAATCTTCTTTGTAAATAAATCTTTTTTGAGGAATTCTTTTGTGAATTTTATAATAAATAAACAACCTTTTTGGTGAAATCTTTTATAGTTTTTTTTATTATCATTTTTGTAAAATTATATATTTTTATAAGTATATTAAAAGAGGTAGTTTTTTTGAAATAATTTTTTAAAAATATTTATAATAAATTTTTTATGTTATTTTATATGATCCTTTTAAGGATAATATTTTAATGTGATAATTGTCATATTCGTTATTTTTTAAGATTTTTGACATAAAAAGGTAAAAATATTTATATTGTAAAGATGTTAAATTATAAATTCAATGAAGATGTTCCTTGGGAAAATGGAAATTATCATAATCGTATTTTTAAACATAGATTATTTTGACACTAATGGGCAAAAATGTACTTTTAACATGTTAAATTAAAATTTCAAAATCTTAAAAAATAACGATTATGTCAATTGCCACATTAAAATATTATCCTTAAAAAAATCATATAAAATAAAACGTAAAAAAGTTTAATATTTTAAAAAAATTATTTCGAAAAACTTAATATACTTAAAAAAAAGATAATTTTACAAAAATTATAAAAGATTTCACCTCTAAGATTTTTTTTATAAAGAAGATTTAAAATTTTATTAAGGCTGCATTCATAGTGGAGACGGATCCAATTTTACGTCAAAACATCTGATTTGACGCCGCTCCGACAAGGCTTTCAGAGTGAATTTTTTTAACGTTTCGTATAACAAATTAGAGATTATTATTTTTTAAAATGAACAAATATTCTTTAGTTAAATTATATATGATCTATTATTCAATAAAGAAAAAAAATTTTAAAATTAGCTTATCATATATATTAAATTAATTTTAAATTTTATAATTAATATTGAAATTTAACCCTTATATTTATATTAATAAAAGTTGAAACACTTATTAAATATTATTTTTATCAGACACATTATAATCTTATTACTAATTTTTATAATTTTAAAATACATTTTAATGCTAAATACTTCATTCAATCTAGATACATTGCAACTGGCATATGTCATCCTTATAAGTTAGGGGTATTTACTATAAAGCAAAATAGGAGAAACAAGGGGTTTTAACCTCAAAACGGATAATTTTATTAAATTACCTATTTTTGAAAACATAATTAAAGCATGTTGCAGTATTAAAAATACTTCTGATCAGAATAAAAATTAGAAACTTATTTTATAATAATTTTAATAATATTGATATTTTGCCATGGCAAAATAATAATATTTTTTATTTATTCAATATTTTGTAATATAAAATTTATTCAATATTTTGTAATATAGATTTTATTCAATATTTTGTAATATAAAAATTATTCAATATTTTGTAATATAAAATTTATTCAATATTTTGTAATATAAAATTTATTCAATATTTTGTAACATAAAATTTATTCAAGATTTTGTAATATAAAATTTATTCAATATTTTGTAATATTAAATTTATTTAATATTTTGTAGTGCTGTAAACGTTACTACAAAAAAGAAACGCGTTACCGTTACTCGTTACCTTTTTATAAAGGAACGCGCGGTACACACTATTCAAAAAATTAACGGGTTACTCGTTACTTAAAAAACTAAATATTATATATATAAAAAATTTTTTTTTCCCTACTGTGAGAGTTGTATTATATTTAATAAATAAAAGTTTTAATTCGGGGAATTTATTAAAATTTCAGGGATGTACCGATATTTTTTATCGGATCGGGCCGATATTTCACCCATTCTAAAATATCAATTATCGGCCAATATTATAAAATTCTCCGATCCGATTCGATATAAAATGGCGTCTTTAACAAAAATAAAATGTTATAAAATTTTTAAAAGGGTTA